CGATCGGATGTTGTTCAGATGTTAAACACCTCCCAGTTGATGTCCAGTTCTATCGAGGCCGAAAGTACAAGCAGTAGCTATAGTGAAATGCCTCGTGAAAGCATTGTAGACGCTGAAGAAGCATCGGAAGCTCTGTTAAACACTTTGAAGGTAAGATATCTTACTTTGACCACTATTTTTCAGGTCTAAATTTGTTACGAGTTTAAACACTACTTGAGCGTATATAGTTAGCATTTTTCTTTTTCAACATTAAATTTCCTACCTCAGTCAATTTGATTAATTAAACGGAAAAAAGTAAGATTTCAATCTATTGCGGGCGAAACACTTTTATCAGATACTTTTTTATTTAAATTAATATCATAGTGGAAGATTTGTGAGATTAGACACCATAACATCAATACCACATCAACGTCTGATTTTCACTTGATGAGCTTGTTTTGCGGAGGAGAATGCATTTTTATGCATATTTGGCATTTCGTAATAAAATATCTTTCCTTTTTTTCTGGTGTACTTTTAGAGAAGGATTCTGCAAAATAGCTATCAAAACTCTTTATATTTTAGATAGAGATGAATGATTTGAACGGAGATGCTTCTGTTCGTTGGCAAGTTACGCGTCTTATTGACTGGGCGTGTATGATTCACGGGTTTTCAGATCTAAACACTGACGATCAAGCATGCTTAATACATTCAGGTAAGCAGACTATATCTATCCATCTCTTTGTGAGCTACCTAATCAGCTTTTCTTAGGCGGGACAAGTAACCACCTTAATGTTATTGATGATTAGCTTACTTCTTTGTTTATACTAGCTAATGACATAGTATTCAGGATGGAATGAGCTGATCGTTGCTGATGTAGCATTTCGTTCTACTCGTGACACATTGATGCTTTGGCCGGAGAGGCCAATGGAGAGGCGAGAGGCGGAAAAACGTAACTGTTTACAATTATTCGACAGCATCATCAGAGAACTAACTTGCAAAATGAGAGAGCTTGTTATGGATCGGATGGAACTTGGAGCTATACGGGCCATTGTTCTTTTTAATCCAGGTATAAGTTTAACTTTTCTGTATGGTTCTTCTTCGTTTTCTTCTCCCTGTTTTCTGGCAATTCTAAACTTCATATCGCCAATTTAGGCTTTAAAAGTTGTGTATAAGGTGTCTTAAAATACTTGTAGGCCTATCAAGCAGAAAAATTGGAAGTTTTCTCCCTTTCTGTTTTTGAAAAAAAATAATTTACTTCCTACCAATTTCATTTATCAGACCCTTTTTATATGAATTTCTATTTTTTACTAGAACTGGCTGGTTTTAATTGGAGGCTTCTTTTACGTATTAAACAACTAAACAGGTTGGAAATGGTATTGAGTCTCATTAGCATCTTTAATAAAATTAAATTTGAAGTTTCTTTGGTTTTTTCCTCTTCTTATCTTTCCCAAGCTCCCACTTCAAAAGGGACTAATTTAGATTTAAAAAACTGATGCGGATCTAGTTTGGATGCATAGAAAAAAAGAAAAAGAAAAAACTACTGCTTTTAGAAGTACCAGGACTAGAGTGTAGAGAATTTGTTGAGTCTCAGCGAGAAAAGGTGTACCATTGTCTCGAAGATTACTGTAAGCAGCAGAATCCTAGTCAAACCCAACGTTTCGCAAAACTCCTTTTACGCTTGCCAGCGCTTCGCACTGTCAGTTTAAAAAGTATCGAGTGCAACAAACTTATTATTTCTTCACCTACTATACAGGTCAGTTTTTGATAATTAGCTACCTTTCACAGTTCTACTGCAGTCGATCATCTTTTTTTATTCTCTCTTTCTTTCCACAAATGTATTTCACTTCTCAAAAAATAAGTCTGATCAGACGATTAAACAAATTACAAAAATTTTCTTGTGGAGAGTACGTCTTTTGAAAAAAACAAATCTTCTCAAAAACGGTCTCTTCTCGTCTTGTAAACTTGTTTTGAAGTCTTTAACTCAGTTACAACCTACTAGCAGTTTAAAAACCTTAACGTTAATTAAGTGCTTGTCATGGTTTGCACATAATGAGTATTATTTCCTGGGCTCTTATGGTTTGTCGGCCCCATGTGCCTCATGTATATGTCCCTGGGAGGAGCCTCAAAGAAGGCCTTCTTGCTGAAGAAGTTGCAACAGAAGCGACATCGCTTTATTCACAGCTTGTTACAGCCCAGGAAGCTTATGGATTGTATCTAGTTTGAACAAAAGACATCACATTCTTTTTTTTTCTTTTTTTTTTTTTTTTTTTT